ACAAGGAAAAAATAAAATAAAAAGAACACCATGCGGTCAAACTCCATGGAAAAATAAAATAAAAAGGACACTATGAGGGAAAAAAAAAAAAAGACAATATCCGTGAAAAAAACAAGGGAAAAATAAAATAAAAAAAAACAAAAAAACAAGTGAACAAAAAAAGAACACCATGTGGTCAAACTCCGACGAAATAGTTTGTCACATGTACGTCGTTTGTTGTCCTCTTTTCTCTCTCTCTGTCAATGGATTACCGGGCAGTTATGTTTGTGACGATATATATATCCTTTGTTGTCCTCTTTTCTCTCTATCTGGTTTACCGACCACTTCTGTTTCTTTGTCTGCATGTGTATATATCGTGGGTGTCTATGCTGACGTTGTGTATGAAGTACAAGAAAAAGAACAAGAAAAAAAAAAAAAAAAAAAAAAAAAAAAAAAAAAAAAAAAAAAAAAAAAAAAAAAAAAAAGTAGAAGAGGAAGAAGAAGAAGGAAAAAAAGATGAGACAAGGACAAAAACAAGACCCAACAGAACAAAAATAAAAAATATCCGTCAAAAAACGAAGGAAAAAATAAAAAACAAAACAAAATAAAAAAATTGACGAGCCAAAGATGAACGCGAAGAAGACGTAGAAGAAGAAGAAGCAAAAAAAAAATTACAAAATCAAGAGCATATACAATAAACATCGCTCTCTCAACGGACAAAAAACGATCGAAAAATAAAGCAAAAAAAAATAAAAAATAAATAAATAATGAAAAAAACAAAGACAAAATGCGGTCAAACTCCAACGAACCAGTTTGTCACATGCACCTCGTTTGTTGTCTTTTTTTTTCTCTCTCTGCCATATATGTATGGTCACAAACATATATGATAACTCGGTGAAACTCAGACGAAACACTTTGTCACAACCCCTGCTTTGGTGTCCTCTTCTCTCTCTATATGCTCACGGTTTACCCGGCTATATATATATATATATATATATATATATATATATATATATATCGTCACAAACATATATATATATATATATATATATTGTCACAAACATATATATATATATGATTTACCGGCCACTTCTGTTTCTGTGCCTGCATGTGTATATGTCGTGGGTGTCTATGCTGAGCGTTGTGTATGAAGTACAAGAAGAAGAAGAAAAAAAAAAAGAAGGAGAAGAACAAGAACAAGAACAAGAAGAAAAGGAAGAAAAAGAAGAAGAAGAAGATGAGTCAAGGACAAAAACAAGACCTAACAGAACAAAAAAAACAATTATCCGCCATATATATATATATATATATATATATCCTCTTCTCTTTGTCTGCCTACGGTTTACCGGCCAGTTCTGTTCGTGAATATATATATATATATATATATATATATATATATATATATATATATACACTCAGCGTTGTGTGTGCTGCAATATACACGTCCGAACAATGTCGGAGTCGCATAAGAAATAAAACAAAGAAACTAACAAAGAAAACCTAAAACGACGAATAAGAGAACAAGATAAAAAAATCAAACGAAGTAAACTAAAAAACGAAACCTAAAAAATGTTGTGCAAACATTATGTCTGATAGCAACGTGATGCAAGCAGTTTCCATGCGACAGTCCAACTCACTCTCTCTCTCTCTCTCTCTATCTATCTATCTATCTATCTATCTATCTCTCTTCTTCTTTTATATATATATATATATATATATATATATATATATATGTATATAAGACAAGGTCGACGACGGGGACGAAAGGCTGACCGACATGAAGAATCAACACAGCGATGGACACGCGAAGAACGACAAGCGAAAGATGAACGCGAAGAAGAAGTACAAGAAGAAGAAGAAGAAGAAGAAGAGAGAATGACAAAAAACAAGACC